TTCTAGACTGAATTCGGTCGGATGTGCCAAAATTCAGGTCATATGGAATGATATTGGTCATTTGGCGCACAATGCTCCGAAATCGGTTGAAGATATATATGGGAATTATATCCAAATCTGAACCGATCTTGATAATATTTGGAAAATGTATTTCTGGGCTGTATCTGATATCTAGTACCAAATATCATTCTTATGGAGTACCAATTATTACCAACGTGATGGACTTAAACACCAAATTTGATGTAAAAAAATTAAATTTGCTAACTATTTAGTATAAAAAGATAAAAATGTACATTTAATTGTGTAGGGTAAGTGCGCCTAAGTTCGGCATGTCCCAGTAGTCGGCAATTTTGAAATTTAAACTTAAATAAATAATAATAGAATTGACCAAATAATGAAATAATTGCAAAAAAACGTCAACAGTGTTCTCTACTTTCTTTCCGTAAAAAAAAAACAATGAGCTCCGATCATTTATTACGAGAGAATAACGGTTTTCGTCAGTGAGTGTCTTCCAAAGCGTGCGATAGTGCTTGTTTGTAAAGAAAGAAATAGTGCTGGCGTTAACTTAATAATCGATTTAAGTAAATTAAATTTAATACTTTTGGAAACAGAAATATTTCATAATAGCAAATAACAGTCTAAAGACCATTTTATAACTTAAAACAATGCATATTAAGCATTTTTCTGTTATATTATTTGATGCCGACATTAGGGACAGGAAAAAAGAGATTAGCCAGTAGTCGGCAGGGGGCGCTGCTTACTAGAAAAATATAATTTTTGACCAATTTCAGAAAATGTTGAGAAAAGTATTAAACAAGTAAAAAAACAGTAAGTTCGGCAGGGCCGAACTTTGAATACCCTCCACCATTTGGAACGAATTAGGACATTTTCAAAAAATAAAAATAAAATCCATTAAAAATTCTGTTAAAATCTCGGAAGGTGCCGATATATGGGGGGATAAACGATATTGTGGACCTATATAGACAAATCTATGTCTAGGGATAAAGTACTCACAAATAACTCCTTGTATAGAATTTAAGACAATTCCGTTTAAAAATGTTGCTAAAATCATCAAAATGCCGAATATTGGGGGGTACCGTTACATGGGGGATATACGATTTCATGGACCTATAAGAGAACTCCCTGTCAGGGGGTAAAGTGTTCACAAAGAACCCCTTGTGTAGAATTTCAGACAATTCCGTTGAAAAATGTGGCTAAAATCTTCAAAATACCGAATTAAGGGGGGGGGGTACTGTTATATGTAGACTATATGATATCGTGGACCTATATAGATAATTCTCTGCCGAGGTATAAAGTACCCACAAGGAACTATTTGTGTGGATTTTCAGACAATTCCGTTGAAAATGTGGCTAAAATCATCAAAATGCCGAATACAGGGGGGGGGGTGGTGGCGTTATATGGAGGCTATACGATATTGTGGACCTATATAGATAATTCTCTGCCGTGGTATAAAGTACCCACAAGGAATTACTTGTGTGGATTTTCAGACAATTCCATTGAAAAATGTGGCTAACATCATCAAAATACCGAATATCGGGCTATACGATATCGCGGACCGATATACCATCTTCGAACTTGACCTGCCTGCAGACAAAAGAGAGATCTGTGCAAAATTTTAGGTTCCTATCTTAATTCGTTTAGACTGTAGCGTGATTACAACAGACGGACAGACGGACGGACAGGGCTTAGAATTTTACGCTGATCAAAAATATATATACTTTGTTGGGTCTAAAATGATTATTTCGATGAGTTACAAACGAAATGACGAACTTAGTATACCCTCCATACCTCTTTTGGTGGAGGGTATAAAAATAAATTTGAGTCGGCATTTGCTTTTATTTGTGCTTTTTGACCAACAGTTCTAAATTAAGTAGGTTTTTTTAAATCAGCTATTTGGCGTTTTAGATAGCGGGGACATTTTTTGAAAAAAAAAAATGTTGGCCATCTAAAGGAAAAAGATCAATTCACAAATATACGGTAAAATTGGAGAAATTAGAAAACATAAAAGAGGAAAGAAAATAGAAATATGTAGTTCTTGCAACCATGAACTTTACATGTGTGCGGAAAACGATGCCCTCAAAAACTGAAAAAAAATCGGCGATACGATGAAATTGTGAAACTAGAGTTTATATGCGAAGCATGTAAAAGTTAGTAAGTTAAACATCAATTTAAAAAAAATCCTTAATGAGGACTGATATGCACCTATGATACACCTATGAATTACCTGATTTTATTCCTAAGTTAAACCAAAATGTATTAAAGTACAGTACCTAGCTTAAAAGACAAAATGAATTCCAAACATAAGAATGAATTCCAAATATAAGATAGTAGTATAGAATTGTTTTATGCTATTTGTAATGAAAATAATATACAAAATAATATTTTCTCTACTGAAATACAATATGCCGACTACTGGTAAATAGACATGCTGAGCATTGGGAAATGGTGCCGACTACTGATGCCCACTACTGGCAAAAACCACTATTTTAGTAAAATTGCAAATGTTGCCAATTTAATAAAAACAAATTCAACTTTTGTTTATTTCTTCGAAAACTAAACAAAATTGGGAATCTGAACAGCTTTACCTTTCTGCAATTGAAAGAGCTCATTCAGAATGTTGAAAGATTGAAAATGCGAAAATCCTAAAAGTGCCGACTACTGGTACACTTACCCTATTTGTTATTAAAACAACCGTTTCTTTACTACTTAACATGGTTTTAAAATCACAAGTCTTTATAAAAATACAATTTCACTTGAAAAATCCAAAGTGGTTTCAACCCGAAAAATATTAGTTTTTCGTTTTCTGAAGAAGCTAAATACGGTCCTTAATCCAGCCATTCATTTGTTATAAGTGTAATATCTAACAGCATGAGATGACATGAAAATTTTCGCGGGTTGAGAGTTTTTCACCGAGAATTTTCTATGTTTCCATTTGAAAACCAATTTCACATCAAACGATCATCTTTCGATTTTTTTCAATTTCATGACTTTTCTCAAAAATTTCTTTCGTAAAATCCTTCTCACCACAATTGCAAACAACAACAAGTTAAAAAGCAGTAAGTTCGGCCCGGCCGAACCCTCCACCATTTGGAACGAGTTTAGAAATTTTCAAAAAATAAAATCCTTAAAAAATTCTGTTAAAATTTAAAAAACCGAATATTGCCGTTATATTTGGATCTATATGACGTGGACCTACATAGGTATTGTTTGTCATAAGTCATTACCATATTCAAATTCGAAACTTAAAATAAACGGTGAATAATGTGGCTAAAATCATCAAAACATCGTATATAGGGAGGTACCGTTATATCGGAGCTGTGCGAAGACCTGGACCAGCATAGACAATATTCTGTCATAGGCTGTAGCATCCATTACGAACTTAAAATACGACATCTCAAACAATTTCGGTGGGTATTGTACCTAAACTCGTCAAAATACCGAATATGGGGAGGTACTGGTATATGGCGCCTATACGAAGACCTGTACCTGCATAGACAATTTTCCGTCACAGACTGTAGTTCCCATTACGAATTCGACATAAGTAATTCGAAACAATTCCGGCGAATAATGACGCTAAAATCATCAAAATACCAAATATAGGAAGGTACTGTTATATGGGGGCTATACGAAGCCGTGGACCTGCTTCTGTCTGTCGTAGGCTGTAGTATCTATTTCGAACTTCAAATACCTAATTTGAAACAATACCGGTGAATAATGTTGCTAAAATCATCAAAATACGGAATATCGGGAGGTACCTTTATATGGGGGCTATATGAAAACGTAGACCTACATGGCCCATCTACGAATTTAACCTGCAACATGTGTGCACAATTTTAGCCTTCTATTTCAATTCGTTCGAAAGATAGCGTGATTACAACAGACGGACAGTCAGAGAGACAGACAGGCGGACATGGCTAAATCGCCTTAGAATTTTATATATATATATATATATATATACTTTGTTGGGTCTGGCATGAGTATTTCGAGGAGTTGCAAACGGAATGACAAAGTTAATATACATAGAATGGTGAAGGGTATAAAAATGAAAATTGAAGTCAAATGAGCCCAGCCGTTCTCAATTATTGAGTTACTATGCATTTTTTACATTTTGTTTTAGCGAAATGTAGTGCTTTTCGCGCTTTAGAAAGGTCTGTGATTTATGCAAGCCACACACGAAGCAACTGGTTGCACAACATGGAGAGGTTGTATTCAAGATTGTATCGTTTGTGGCCCGGTTGTACGAAGTTGTGTCTCGGTTGTATAAAAAATTAAAATTTTTTGATACTTGGCATGTTGTACCAACCGATTGTAACGTTTGTGGCCATGCCTCATACAATTTCATTTTGTGTTTATTTTCAAAGAGGCAACTCCATTGTTTCACACATCAAAACAACACGAATTCCAATCAAATGTGTGATTTCAATGAAAATATAAAAAAATAAAACGGAATTTCAAAAATTAATAATAAATAAAGGCTGTTAAGTAAATTATTACTTCCGGTTTCGTCTTAACTCAAATGAACTCTTCGAACAGTGACGTTGTACAAAGAGGTTGAATACAAAGTTGTGTCGATTGTGGCCTAAGCATACAACTTGACATCCCTCCAGGTTGTACGAACGGTTGTATCGTGCGTGGCTTGCATTAGAGATCTCTGTTTTGGCCATTGAGCTGAAATAATTTAAGCGAGCAATTTTCGCTCATCTCTCCCTTTTAAGAATATAGCGTCGAATAGCTTCGGAAAAGAATAAACCTCAAATAAAAGACAATTCCCCAACGACAATAGTGAATCAAACCCCTTAGGAAACAACATTTACCTAATTGTCGCATATCCCTGCGCACAATCCTCTTAAGAATGTCTCCTTGTTTTCTTGTGACTACTACTACATTACAAACAGACACGCAGAGCATTCCTTTTGAAAGCTTTAATCGGACGGTGAGATTCATTCGCATGAATAGTCCATGTTGTTGTCACTACTTACTTGAGTCCAATAGTTTCTGTGTCCTCTGCAGTTCCTTTTCCGACTCCTTCTTGTGCTCCATCGCTTTGTGGGTTTCAATGAAAGCCAAACGCTGTCCTCTGTCCGTCAAATACTTGGTGTACATGCCGGCCACATTGATGGCCGTGTAGAGAATGAAATTAGCAAAGATTTGGAATGCGATGCAGTTGGATTTCTGTAAATGCGAAATGTCAAGGAATCCAAAAAAGGAATACATCATTTTGATTATCGACATTGGTGTTAGGGTTGCCCCTGGGATGGGGATGGGATGAAGTGCGAATGAAATGCAAAGGCATTGGCAACTGAGACAATTTCTTGGCAGAAATTCACCAAAGGACCACAGCACTTGGTTGTTGAATGCCTTCCTTTATCACACCCCAGGTGGCCATTAGCCGACAAGTGGCTTGGACAGCAACATGTCTGTTTTACATGTTGTTGTCGTTGCTGCTTGCTTGTCTGCTATTCTTTATTGGTTTATTCGCAGCCTTGTGTTGATTGATTTTCTACTTACTTCCTGTTTCTGTAGTTTAATTATGGTTATTACCGTTAGATGGCAACTCGCTGTGATGGTGCCACCCACAACGCACCACTTGAGCGGCAGTGGCAGCATGGCATATGGAACAAATATAACAAAAAGAATGTACCATATGAGGTACTCCCGGTCGGCAAACCCCACTCCTTCGCCCACGAAACCTGCAAAAGAAACCGGCTTGTAGTCAAATGCTGTCATCCAACACGGGGTTCTCTGGGCACACGACACAGTGGATTGAATGCCAAAGAAAGGGAATGCCCCAGTACATGACCCGAGTAGTACTTCGTGTCATTACTTGTTGGTGTAATTGAATCCCCTTGGGGCTAATTAGTTGCACTTATGGCGAGGGTTGGCATCGGCTTACCTTGAATGTTAAAGAGAATCCAGGTACATACAGCTGCCCAGTGTAGATAGTTGTTGGCAAAACATCGCCAATAGCCAAGAAAGCAAATGGACATGTTCGACAGGGCACAGCACACGGACCATGTGATGGCTGTGGCAACGTTAACTTCCTAGCATGATAGAGAGATGACAATAAAAAGAACAACATCAGACATGTGATACAACCTCTGGTCCATTGGAGTTTTGTTCTCAACCTACCACCTCGATTTTTGTTTCGGCCTCCTTTAGAAACCAGATCATGGCCAGAACAATTTTGAGAATAAAGTCCACCAGGTTCACAATGATCAGTGACTTCTGTCGTTGGCGATGCGTGTACGTTAAATAGGCGCGTTCCAACGAGCTCTGTTTGAAGGAGTTCGTCAATGAGGGACACAGAATGCCTTTGATTACGTTTCCGCTTTTGAAGGCGGCATAAGTCTCGTTGTTGAGCGGACGTGCCATGGTTGATTTGCGGCCTTCTTCCTCAGCCTCAAAGTCTGTGGAACAAGTTATAAATTCAACTGCATTTCAACTCATAGTTGGGGAAGCACTTGCCTAAATTTGTATTGCCAAAAACGCTGCAGCTCTCCGTTCGCCTCTTTGGTCCATAACGAATTTTACGCTCCATAATGCGAACCGATTGTACTCGCAGAGGAACTCCACTCTTCAGTTTTGGCTTGCGAAAACTGGCAGCCAGTGTTGAACTGGAACCCCGTAACGATGAGGGGGTCTCATCGTCCATTTGAGCTCCATCACCGGGCAGGCGGGGTATTTTCGACATGTCTTGGAGATTCTGGCGATAATCGATCGAGCAAAGCAATTCGTGAATTATCCGCAAATCGTAAAGTTCTCAAACTTACCTCAATATTTTCGGTGAGCGAATTGGCGTTACCGTCTGTTTCAATTTTATTTTCGGTTACGTTATCATCGTCTGATCGGGTGTCTTCTCTGTTTATGCGGCCATTAGTCAGTACATCCTGATTGTCTCCTTGTCCATCCACATCTGTATTGTTCACTTCAAGTGTGCCATTCGGCAACTCGTTCGCGATGTTGGTCATTTCTATTTGCTGTTTATCACTTCTACCATTGCCATCGGTCTCATCTCCACATCCGTTCACAGCGGGGTGGTTTTGTACCATCGAACCTTCACTTCCGCCTCTCATTTTGTATGTCACAACATTGGCAATGGATTTGGCGCTTGTCTCGAATTTTTTTACAATAACTTTGGCAGCTTGGTCATGCGGAGATTGGCCTGATCTGCGTCTGAGTGCTACTCCGGAAACCAAATCACTGTCGTCGTCATCCATAATGCGTTCCTCAGGGCTTCTGGAAGGGATGGTAAAAAAGTTTTTTGGAAGTTTTTTAAGGTGCAGATACATGCATTAAAGGCTTTTTCGTAAAAGAACAAAGGTGTGTAGGATGAGCAAGCTTAAATTCCGGGCCTATATAGATATAAGTCAAACTAAAACTTTTTTGTTTTTTTTTACAAAGGATCCAGCCAATGGCTCAAGCCAGTAAAATAGCCTTTTATATATATATGCACCTTAAGGGTTTATGATAGAATTACATTATATCACAAATAGGCACTTTTGTCCCCTATTTGGTTACATACTTCCAAAATTTAGTACTCACTCGATACTAATGCTAGCATATATAGTAACTTTTTGTTCTTTTCCAGAAATGCAGCCTCTTGCAATATTTTAAGGCATTGAGACGTTTGCATTCCATCTAATGTCGCTACTTTTATAAGAATTAATACTTTCTCTGCAGCTACCGTTCGCCATAAAAAGTTTATATTTCCAATTAATTGTTGGACATTTTTGTGGTACCTTCCCATATTAGGCAATGGTGGTTTGGGTACAATTTTAAACGGAAGTGCCTCAAATTTGGTAACTACTTCGGAAATTGTCTACGTAGATTCACGTTTTGAAATAGCCTCCATATAACAGCACCGCCCACTTTATGACGCTTTGAAGATCAATTTCACTCCCAAAGTGAGAGTCAGCTAGGGTAGTGTAGGGTTTTTATACCCTCCACCATTCATTCCGTTTGTAACTCCACATTTATATTTATAATTGACCCTACAAAGTATATATATTCTGGATCAGCGTAAAATAAGATGATCTAGCGACGTCCGTCTGTCTGTTGTAGTCACTTGAACGAATTGAGATTAAATTTAGCTTACATGCATAGTTTACCGGTAGGCAGATTAAGTTCGTAAATGGGCCATGGGCCCACGTTTTCGTATAGCCCCCATAAAACGGTACCCTCCGATATTCGGTATTTTCATGATGTTAGCGACAGTATTTACCGGAATTATTTCAAATTTCATATTTAAAGTTCGTAATGGGTACTACAGCCTATGACAAAAATTTTTGTGTGCAGGTCCACGTCTTCGTACAGCCCCTATATGACGGTACCTCCCAATACTCGGTATTTTTATGATTTGTGCGGCATTATTCACCGGAATTGTAACAAATTTCGTATTTATAGTTCGTAATGGGTACTACAGCCTATGACAAACAATTTCGTAAACAGGTCCAAGTCTTCATATAGTCTCCATATAACAGTTTTCATTTAAGTTGTAGTTTCCGGAAGTTTTTTGAAAATTTTCAAGTTCCTTCCAAATGGTGGAGTGTATTAAAAGTTCGCGTGAAATATGCCAATAAAAATGTGAATGAAAAAAATTGTCTCAATTTGACATACTATATTGAAGTGTACATTTTTTATTGTTTGGAATATTATATTAAAAATGAAATTAGTGCGCAATGCGATGTTAAATGGCGGTCTTTCATGTATTAAATTGGCATCTAGCTTTTAACTCCAGGACCAACATAGTGCTTCAGCTGGAAGATGCGAACCATTTAAACAAACAATAATGACCGACAAAGCGTTATGAACTCATTTCAAAACGTGGACTTTCATATGACAATAAGCCATCCAATGAGAACTCAAAATGCAAAATTCATTGGGACTTCAATCAGTGAAATACTGAATATGAAAATAGTAGAGCGAATTGGACATTTAATAAGAAAAGGATTTCTATCCTTCCAGGTCGTGATATAGGTCATAGCCCCCGGATAAGAATACAACCCAAACATTTTACATTTTAACCATTTTTTTCATAACAATTCCGGAAAATGTGGGTAGTTTGAGAAAAAAACAATCCTTGCAAGACCCCACAAAGTATATATATATTCTTGATCAGCATAACATTCTATGTCGATTTGTGGAAATTGTGGAAATCACTCTAGCTTCCGAACGAAATAAAGTAGGTTGATAAAATTTTACTCAAATGTGTATTATGTCTGCAGGACTTTTGGTATTGAAAATGGGTCATATAGGTCCACGTTTTCGTATAGCCCCCATATAACGGTACCTCCCGATATGCGGTATTTTGATGATTGTAGCGACATTATTTACCGAAAATGTTTCCAATTTGGTATTTAAAGTTCGAAAATTGTGTCAGAAACATGAAAAAAATTACGAATATTAGAAAGTAGCACGGGAGCGAACATTTTTATACCCTACACCACAAGGTGGTCAGGGTATTATGTCTTTGTGCATTTGTTTGTAACATGCAAAAGGAAACGAGATAGACCCATAGTTCCTTTTGATGATCTGCATAGAATCACATTCTGAGTCGATTTATGCATGTCCGTCCGTCCGTCTGTCCATGTATTTTTGTAAACAAAGTACAGGTCGCATTTATTGCCCGATCCAGATGAAATTTTTCACAGATCATTTGTTCGACCCAATGACGAACCCTATTGAAATTGGAGATAATCGGTCAAAATTTAGATATAGCTCCCATATATATCTTCGTCCGATTTGCCTTTTATTGTGCACCAAACGTGTAATATCAGTCCGAATAGTATGGAATTTTGCACAAATCATTTGTTTGGCCCAAGAACGAACCCTATTGAAATTGGAGATAATCGGTCAAAATTTAGATATAGCTCCCATATATATCTTCGTCCGATTTGCTTTTATTGTGTACCAAACGTGTAATATCAGTCCGAATAGTATGGAATTTTGCAGAAATCATTTGTTTGGCCCAAGGACGAACCCTATTGAAATTGGAGATAATGGGTCAAAATTTAGATATAGCTCCCATATATATCTTCGTCCGATTTGCTTTTATTGTGTACCAAACGTGTAATATCAGTCCGAATAGTATGGAATTTTGCACAAATCATTTGTTTGGCCCAAGGACGAACCCTATTGAAATTGGAGATAATCGGTCAAAATTTAGATATAGCTCCCATATATATCTTCGTCCGATTTGCCTTTTATTGTGCACCAAACGTGTAATATCAGACCGAATAGTATGGAATTTCGCGTGTACGATCAGATTGGACCTCAAAATAAGTATGCCAAATTTCATCGAAATCGGTTCAGATATAGCTATAGCTCCCACATATATTGTTTATCCGATTTGTTATTTTTGTCCCCCGCAGCCGTAATATGCACTCTGTAACAACAATATTTGGTGAAATTTATCAAATACTGCTCAGAAATACATTTGCTAAATTTTATCGAGATCGGTTCAGATTTGGATATAGCTCCCACATATAACTTCGTCCGATTTACATTGGATTGTGCACCAAACGTCTAATATTTGCCCAAATTGGATGCAATTTGGCACATACGACCGAATTGAGTCTAGAAGCTAGTATGTCAAATTTAGTGAAGATCGGTTCAGATATAGCTATAGCTCCCATATATACTGTTCATCCGATTTGTCATATTTGTTACCCACAGCCATAATATGCACTCCGTAACAGCGATATTCAGGGAAATATATCAAATAGAGCTCAGAAATATCTTTGCCAAATTTTATCGAGATCTGTTTCGATTTGGATATAGCTCCCATATATATTTTTTTCCGATTTCAGATTAATTGTGCACCAAATGGGCAATACAACTCAGAATTTAAAAGATACAAATGCTTCGGCATATTTAGTTCTTTGAACTTTAAATTATAATACTAATCATAGCGTGTATGATTGAATTCTCCTATAAAAACTTTTAATTGTTATGCGCAGCTCAACTAAATTAGCAAAGTGGTGTAGGGTATCATAAAGTCGGCCCCGCCCGACTTTAAGACTTTCTTTACTGGTTTTAATCGACATTGAATTATACTATGATGATACTAATTATGAGATGGACAAAACTAAATTCCACGCAGCACGGTGTTCTAAACGTTGGAAATAGAAATTCCAAATTGCAGCACATTTGAATGGAAAATGTTACTAAACTCATTACAATACCAAAAATTGAGCTGAGTTTTCAATTGGAGCTACTATAGATGTTCTATATCATATAGGTTTTTAACACTCAAATTAAAGCATTTGGGTGAAGAATAAGATCAAGCTATCCAAAATATCTAAAACCGAACAGGTAGGCTATGAATATTTATTACACCCTCCATCATTGTATGGAAATATACATTTTAGGCCCTACAAAGTATATATATATCAGCATAAAATTCTATGTCGATTTACCAATGCCCGTCCGTCTGTGGAAATCACTCTAGCTTCCGAACGAAATAAAGTAGGTTTATAAAATGTGTATTATGTCTGCAGGACTTTTGGTATAGGTCCACGTTTTGGTATAGCTCCCATATAACAGTACCTCCCCAAATTCGGTATTTTGATTATTTTAGCGACATTATTAACCGGAATTGCTTCAAATTTGCTATTTGCAATTCGTAATGGATACTACTGCCTAAGACAGAAAATTGTTTGTACAGGTCTAAGTTTTCGTATGGCCCCCATATAACGGTACCTACTGATATTCGGTATTTTGATGATTTTAGCGATATTGAGTTTAACAGCGAAAGGAATAAGGACTTTGACAGCTTAATCAAAGAGACAAGTATAAAATTATGGAGAAAGTGCAAAATTGAGCCATTGCGATTTTTGGGGTCATTTTGCACATTGCTAAGATCAATGTAATTTAATTTAAAGTATGACTAAAATTGCGGGGCAACAGTTGTGTGTACACTCATTCCTAAAAGTAATGAGAAGTTGTAATAAAGTTTGAATTACATCAAATGAAAATATGGAGTGTTTTTGCCTGTAAAAACATAATTCAAAACTACAATTTTAAAAGAGTATCCTCTGTTAAATTGATCCGTATATATGTACGATTGTTGATGAGGCTGATATAAGTCCAGGCTAAATTTAGCCTGGACTTATATCAGCCTCATCACCAATCGTACTTATATATGGAGAAATTAAAGAAGAATGTGAAATATTATATTATTATTAAAGTGTTTCTCATAAAGTCTTAATTCTAGATTTCAAAATATAACAAAAGAC